ATAGAAGAAACCATCAAAAGACTACCAACTAAGAAAAGCCCAGGTCCCGATGGGTATACAGCAGAATTTTACAAAACCTTTAAAGAAGAACTAATACCAATACTTTTCAAGCTACTTCAGGAAATAGAAAAGGAGGGAGAACTTCCAAATTCATTCTATGAGGCCAACATCACCCTGATACCTAAACCAGACAAAGACACTTCAAAGAAAGAAAACTACAGACCAATATCTCTAATGAACCTAGATGCAAAAATCCTCAATAAAATTCTGGCGAATCGGATACAAAAACATATAAAAAAAATTGTACACCATGATCAAGTAGGATTCATCCCTGGGATGCAAGGCTGGTTCAATATACGGAAATCAATAAATGTTATTCACCACATCAATAGACTTAAAAATAAGAACCATATGATCATCTCGATAGATGCGGAAAAAGCATTTGACAAAGTACAGCATCCCTTTATGTTCAAAACTCTAGAAAAACTAGGGATAACAGGAACATACCTCAATATTGTAAAAGCAATCTATGCTAAGCCTCAGGCTAGCATTATTCTGAATGGAGAAAAACTGAAGGCATTCCCTCTAAAATCTGGAACAAGACAGGGATGCCCTCTCTCTCCACTTCTCTTCAACATAGTTCTCGAAACACTGGCCAGAGCAATTAGACAGACGAAAGAAATTAAAGGCATAAAAATAGGAAAAGAAGAAATTAAATTATCACTATTTGCAGATGATATGATTCTATATCTAGCAGACCCAAAAGGCTCTACAAAGAAACTATTAGAGCTAATAAATGAATTCAGCAAAGTGGCAGGATTTAAAATCAACACGCATAAATCAAAGGCATTCCTGTATATCAGCGACAAATCCTCTGAAATGGAAATGAGGACAACCACTCCATTCAAAATATCTTCAAAAAAAATAAAATACTTGGGAATCAACCTAACAAAAGAGGTGAAAGACTTATACAATGAAAACTACAGAACCCTAAAGAGAGAAATAGAAGAAGATCTTAGAAGATGGAAAAATATACCCTGTTCATGGATAGGCAGAACTAACATCATCAAAATGGCGATATTACCAAAAGTTCTCTATAGGTTTAATGCAATGCCAATCAAAATCCCAATGGCATTTCTTGTAGAAATAGAGAAAGCAATCATGAAATTCATATGGAAAAATAAAAGACCCAGAATAGCAAAAACAATGCTAAGCAAGAAGTGTGAATCAGGCGGTATAGCGATACCAGACTTCAAACTATACTACAGAGCAATAGTAACAAAAACAGCATGGTACTGGTACCAAAACAGGCGTGTGGACCAATGGTACAGAATAGAGGACACAGAAACCAATCCACAAAACTACAACTATCTTATATTTGATAAAGGGGCTAAAAGCATGCAATGGAGGAAGGATAGCATCTTCAACAAATGGTGCTGGGAAAACTGGAAATCCATATGCAACAAAATGAAACTGAATCCCTTTCTCTCGCCATGCACAAAAGTGAATTCAAAATGGATCAAGGAACTTGATATCAAATCAGAGACGCGCCGTCTGATAGAAGAAAAAGTTGGCTACGATCTACAGTCGGTGGGGTCGGGCTCCAAATTCCTCAATAGGACACCCATAGCACAAAAGTTAATAACTAGAATCAACAAATGGGACTTACTCAAACTAAGAAGTTTTTTCTCAGCAAAAGAAACAATAAGAGAGGTAAATAGGGAGCCTACATCCTGGGAACAAATCTTTACTCCTCACACTTCAGATAGAGCCCTAATATCCAGAGTATACAAAGAACTCAAAAAATTAGACAATAAGAGAACAAACAACCCAATCAACAAATGGGCCAAGGACCTGAACAGACACTTCACAGAGGAGGACATACAGTCAATCAACAAGTACATGAAAAAATGCTCAACATCTCTAGCTGTCAGAGAAATGCAAATCAAAACCACCCTAAGATACCATCTCACTCCAGTAAGATTGGCAGCCATTAGGAAGTCAAACAACAACAAGTGCTGGCGAGGATGTGGGGAAAAGGGTACACTTGTACATTGCTGGTGGGACTGCAGATTGGTGCAGCCAATTTGGAAAGCAGTATGGAGAGTTCTTGGAAAGCTGGGAATGGAGCCACCATTTGACCCAGCTATTCCCCTTCTTGGTCTATTCCCTAAAGACCTAAAAAGAGCATGCTACAGGGACACTGCTACATCGATGTTCATAGCAGCACAGTTCACAATAGCAAGACTGTGGAACCAACCTAGATGCCCTTCAATAGATGAATGGATAAAAAAAATGTGGCATTTATACACAATGGAGTATTACTCTGCATTAAAAAATGACAAAATCATAGAATTTACAGGGAAATGGATGGCATTAGAGCAGATTATGCTAAGTGAAGCTAGTCAATCCCTAAAAAACAAATGCCAAATGTCTTCTTTGATATAAGGAAAGTAACTAAGAACAGAGTAGGGACGAAGAACAGGAGAAGAAGATTAACATTTAACAGGGATGAGAGGTGGGAGGGAAAGGGAGAGAGAAGGTAAATTGCACGGTAATGGAAGGAGACCCTCAGGGTTATACAGTGGAGGGGGTAGAGAGAGAGGAGGGGAGGGGAGGGGAGAGGTGGGGAGGGGGGAGGGTGGATGATGGGAAAGGCAGCGGAGCACAACAGACACTAGTATGGCAATTTGTAAATCAATGGATGTGTAACTGATGTGAATCTGCAATCTGTGTATGGGGTGAAGGTGGGAGTTCATAACCCACTAGAATCAAAGTGTGGAATATGATATGTCAAGAAATTTGTAATGTTTTGAACAACCCACAATAAAAAATTAAAAAAAAAAAAAAAAAGAAAGAAATAAGCAACAGACCTGAATAGGCACCTCTCAAAAAAATGACATAAATGGCCAACAGGCATAAGAAAAAAAAATGCTTAGCATTGCTAATCATTAGGGAAAAATGCTCATCAAAATCACAGTGAGAGATCATCTCACTCCACTAAGTACTGCTATTACCAGAAGATTAATAAATAGTGCTGCAGAGAAAGTAGACACTTGTACAGTGTTGGGGATGTAAATTTGTACAGCCATATGAAGGAAATATAGAAGTTCCTTAAATAATTGAAAGTAGAACACTATGTGAACAAGCAATTCCCATACTGGGTTGGTTGTTTTAATCAGCTTTTCCCTGCTGTGACCAAAAGACCGGATGAACAGTTGTAGAAGAGAAAAGGTTTATTTTGTGGCTCCCAGCTTCAGAGGTATGAGTCCATAGGTGGCTAACTCCATTCCCCCTGGGGCTTGAGGTGAGGCACTACATCATAGGGGAAGACTGTGGTGGAGGAAAGCAGTTGGGAGCAGGGCACCAGGAAGCAGAGAGAGAGAGAGAGAGAGAGAGAGAGAGAGAGAGAGAGAGAGAGAGAGAGAGAGAGCGCTCTGCTCAATAAAGACAAACTACATACTCCAAAGGCATGTCCCCTCAACCCCTCCTCCAGCCATACCCTACCTGCCTATAGTTACCACCAAGTTCATCCCTAGCAAGGGATTGATGCACTAATTAGGTTAAACTTCTTATAAGGCAATCATTTCATCTCTTAATCTTTCTTGCATTGTCTCACACATGAGCTTTTGCGGGAGACCTAATATTGAAACTATAACATGGGCATATACTCAAAGAACTAAATCAGTTTGTTGAGGAAATACCTGCACTCCATGTTTATTGCAGGACCATTTCCAGCTCATGAATGAGATTAGAACCCATAAATGATGGCGTAAAACACACGAGCTTCACCATCCTTCCAGATGTTATAGGTTGAATTAATTAACTTCCCACAGATCAAAGTATGAAGTAATGAAATGCTATAAATAGAATATAATAGTAATAAATAAAATATAAGACACAAAAACATTTTTAAGAGGCTGATGTAGGGTTTTGAGTGTGAGAGAGTGTGAGACAAAGAGAAATAGAGTGAAAAATTGAGAGAAGATTTGGAAGGCAAATGTCTCGGATTCACGGAAGACTCCAGGAGACCATTCACACTGAGTGCACTATAAAGGGCGTCCTTATGTAGTAACTTACCTGGGTGTACAGTCAAGTTTCACTGATTAGCCACTTAGATGGAAATAGCCTTGAGAACACTACTGCCCTTCTTTGAATCTCAGGTTCGTGCTCTGTGAAACCCCAGTTTACACAATGCCCAAGGTACTTATATAACAGCACTGTAAAAATTAAAGTTAAACATATATAGATCCCTATTGACACAATGCCTGGAACAACAGATGTCTTTAGCGTTTGTTTCCCTCCTAGTCTTGATGTTTGGACTTTGCACACATGCCAAGTTTTAGAATTAATAATTACTTTATAGAAAGTATGTGATATACATGTACTAAGAATTATTATTTTTTTAATTGCGTAGTTGTAACACACAAGGCACACCTTGAATCACCTGGATCTAATTCACTCATTTTAGCAAAGCATATCAAGCTCCATCCCTGTTCCAGGAACTGTTACTGTTTTTACAGAGAGAGGAAGTGACCCCTTAGAGGTTATGTGGGTAGCGACACAAGCTCTCCAAATCAGCATTAAGTAGTGAGTGCTATCATCAAAATAAACATGAAGTGCTATTAAATCACCATGAACATGCTTGTGAAGTTTTCACTGAGGCAAAACAGATGAAAATATGTATCTGATGATAGCTAGTTCATAAAACAGCGAATTTCTGCATTCTGTTGACAGAGGAGTGGCTAATGTATTGCCTATTCACAAGATTCTTTGTAAGGGTAATGACAAGCAGACCCCAAGATGTCTTAGCCATTTTTCTGAGCTTCACACAGTTTCTTTTTTTCTATATAACAGACTTACAGAGGTAAGGGTATAATTTTAGGAACTTAACTTGAATGTGTTCAACTTAAAAAAATGACTCATTTCCTGAATAAGATTTGAGAGGAATGAATTCAGGTATTGCACATCTTGTATCACTAAAATCAATACCCTAAAATCTATTTTGCCTCTAACAAAATTTTCATGAATGCACTCTTGACCTCCTTGTTCCTGAGGCTGTAGACCACAGGGTTCAGCATGGGGATGACCATAGTGTAGAACACAGATGCAAACTTGTCACTGTCCATGGAGTGACTGGAGCTGGGCTGTAAGTACATGAAGATAATCGTCCCATAGAAAATGGAGACTGCAGTGAAGTGGGAGGCACAGGTGGATATAGCTTTCCTGTGTCCTGTACCTGAGTGCATCTTTAAGATGGTGACAAAAATGAATATGTAGGATATCCATATAACTAGGAGAGCAAAAATGATATTAAAACTCACAACATAAACAAGAACCAGCTCACTAACGTGCCTATCAGAGCAAGAGAGAACCATGACTGCTGGAATATCACAGAAAAAATGGTGGACCACATTGGACTTGCAGAAGGTGAGACTGAAAGTATCCCCAATGTGGATGGAGGAATTCAGAAAACCACAGACATACGAGCCTATGGTCAGACACGCACACACACGTATTGTCATGGTGGTGGTGTAGTGCAGGGGCTTGCACACTGCTGCATAGCGATCATAAGCCATTGAGGCCAGCAGGTAATTTTCTACAGTAGCAAAGGCTACAAAAAAGAACATCTGAGCAGCACAAGCACCATAGGAGATGACCTTGTCTCCTAGAAGGAGCCCAGCCATGACCGTGGGAGTGACAGCTGAAGAGTAACAAAAGTCCACCAGAGACAGGTTACCCAGGAAAAAGTACATGGGAGTGTGGAGACGGGAGTCCAGGAGAATCAACAGGATCATCCCCAGGTTCCCAACCAGAGTGATGGTGTAGATGAGGAGGAAGGTCACAAAGAGGGGAAGCTGAAGACTTGGGTCATTGGTCAGTCCCAGCAGGATGAACTCTGTTACTTCTGTCCTGTTCTCCATCAGTGTTATCTGGGAATCACTGGATGCTCTGTAAACATGAGGAAAAAAAGGAACAAAAGACCAGAAAAATTAAATCAAAATCAGAAAAACTCAAGTTGTTCTTGAGTTCTTAACAACAACAACAAAAAAGTATGAGCTTGGAAACCAAATTCCATGCATTCAATGTACATGAGGTACATACTGCTGAATTTGACAACTCTGAATGGATCATCTACCCAATATAAAAAGTCTGTAATTTGTAAATTGATCTCAGAATATTTGGTAACAATGCATGGGCTTACCTGATGAATGGATCTGCTAACTCAATTCTGAGCTTAGGAAATGTGGACGCTTCCATGTTGCCCAACAGCCAGGAGCTGCTGTGGACCCTGGATGTGAATTCACTATTTCCTCTTAGTATTATAAGTTTGGTTGATTGCTACTTTTATATAAATTACGAGGCACAAGAGTTTGACTTATTTATTATATGTACTCAAGTATTAATGGGAAATCTCTGCTCTGGTCCCAGGCCAACCTTAAGGTCATGCTGAGTCTAGACTGAATTTCAATCAAACAGAAATTCACTCAATAACCATTTTTCCTTGTCTTCTTTGGTTCAAACTCAGATTTTGGGTTTTCACAGGATACTGAGTGAGTGATTAGATGGTGAATTCTTCTTGTTGATTATCTACTTCCTTGTCATCAGGGTCAAACAAATAAACAAACATAAAAACCAGAAGAGTGAAATAAATCATCCTTTAAACTACATAAGGGATCTAGTTAAATTAACAGTCTCTGAACTGCAATTTAACCTTTCCCCACCATCTCAGGCTTGTATCACCAGCACACTGACACTTGCTGAAACCATAAGCTTCTGACTCCATGGAGGAAGGTTTAACTCTTAAATCAGCATAGCTCCTCTCCATGCCTAGTAGATGTGGTGGGATAACCAACCGGGGTGGCGGGAGCATGTTCAACCTGCAGGAGCAAATCTGAGATATGGGAAACAGAGAGCTTTGGTTCTTGGAAGAGGTGCGTGTTAGTCCTACCATGGACCAGAGGAGTTCCTGATCCTAACCCCACGCCCTTGTACATTATGTCCACCTGCCAAATAAAGATAGTAATGAGAGCTGCTAACATAAGATAATTAATACACAGAAGACAAAAAATTGCTCGTGTAATCGAAGGCAGATGAGTGCTGTTATCACGTTATTTTTTAGTGTAACAGTGGTCCTTGCACCTTCTCAGTATAGTCCTCATTGCACTAAGGCTTATTTAAAAAAAAAAAGTTTTATTCTCTCTTCTCCCCACTCCCTAACAAGATTAGGGGGACAGTGTTATCTTTTCTTCCCTTAATAAATTGCCCTTGAACATACCCACTACAGGAAGGAAATGCCTGCTGAGGATCTGGGAAGTGTCTCCCAAATTAACAAGTGAATCCTAAGGGGCCCTCCAGGACCCCCTGGGATCCCCTACCACAGCACACCTGGAGGAGTTCTTTTAAAACCACCCTGTCCCTCCTGATGGGGAGAGTCAGATCCTTTGGGACAGGAGTCCCCAGTGTTTCTCCTTTGTGAGCAAAGCAATAAACCTTTTTTTACCTTTTTCTCAAAAAAATTGTGTCCTCACTTTTAAATAGGCATTAATTGGCATCAGGGACAGGGATGGAGATTTTGGTTACATTCGGATGGGCTAAGTTTTGTTGGTTTGAAGGTAGAGGCAGTCATGTAGGGTTTCAGTCCTGGGTATCTGTAGTCTTGAGGGCTTTTCCTAAATTTGCCTTTTTTTCCCCACAAACTAGGTCCACCAAGGATTTCCGAGTTCTCTGGTGTTTATCTCCTTGCTTCAAGTACAGGACTGCTGCCCCTGAAATTCCATGAGGCATTCTTTATATAAAAATTTTTTCCTTAATATCCACATTTTAATTTGAATAAAAGACTCCAATTTTTTTCTTTCTTTTTATTGTTTGGGTTTAATTTCTGTTTATTCACGTTTATGGCTTGTTATACTTCCTCAATGGGATTATTCAAAAACTAACACAATGGACTGGGGCTGTGGCTCAGTGGTCGAGCACTTACCTAGCATATGGGAGACACTGGGTTCAATCCTCAGCACCACATAAAAGTAAATAAATAAAATAAAGGTAGTGTGTACATCTACCACACACACACACACAAACAAACTGAGATCAGACTGTCTGAAATTTAATTTTTTTAGATTTAGAAAACAGGTTTATTATTTAAAGTAGGAAGCAAAGAATTTATTCATTTTTACTGCTAAGAAGTGGGTATCTCCCTTAGAATTGAGTCTGTGTCGACATCACAGTGACCAGGATTTGAAGTTCCCACGTTTTGGTTTGTCTTATCTCACAGATTTGCTTTGGTGGCCTTTTCCCTTTTTCTGAAATATTTTATGTGAATCTGTTACTACACAGTAACAATATTTTAAATGTCCTTAATTGTTTTTTTTTGTTTGTTTGTTTTGAGCCTGGGTTTTGCCATGTTGTCCAGACTGATCTCAAACTCCTGGGCTCCTGAGTTCCAGTGATCCTCCTGTCTCCACCTCCAGGAGGCTGGGACAACAGGGATGTGTCCCCCCACACACACCTGTAGAAGTATTTTAATTGGAATTGAACCCTTTGGAAGAATACCCCATTCCAAACTATTATTCCTACCATCTTTCTGCTAAAGTTTAACAAGTTCAGTTTATGAGCCTACCCCACGAACACATTATATTGGCTAATGTTTAACACGCATGATCGAGATTAGTAAATAAAAGTTTTATACCCAACTGCAAGGGCTTTCTATATGTGTGTGTGTGTAAGGTAGGTAGTATTATTATTTATCATTAAGTAAGTTGAGGATTTAAGAAGTTATCTCATCCTCTAAAATAGTACAGCTAGTATGAGAAAGACTTACAAATCGAGTTTTAAGTCTATCTTCAACATAACGAAAGAATGTCGCCTTTGGTCACATCATTGTCAACAATCTCATAGAGATAGAGCAAAATACATTTGAGATTTTTGGAGAAAGGTTAAAATGCAATTCAGAGATTCTTAATTCATTAGGGTCTTTTTGTAGTTTAAGAAGATCATTTCACAATTATGGAATTTTTTTCTTTATTTGGTTTGGCTTTGCTCTTTGGTTTTTATCTCTGATGTTAAATGAATATGTAATAAAAAGGCAAAATCACCAGCTCATCAGAATGTCATGCCTTATTTTTGTTCACGTGTCTAGAGAGAATTCCTAGCCCCCTTATGACAGTCATACAAAAGATTTTTCTCAGGTTTTTAGAAAAAGTTGAAGCCACCTATTTCTCTTTTTAAATCATCTCAGTAAACCTTTTCCTACTTCTGCATCAATCACAGACTAAAGTACACAGAACACACAGGCTTACCTTCTTGTTGGGGGTGAAAGAGCGGTCCACCCAGGAGGTCAGTCTGATCATACAGTCAGCCTTGGAGTACCTCATACCTTCTCTTAGAGGATCTCTCTCAGGTAGCCATCAGTTTCCATGTTGTCTAAGGCGTGGGAAAAAAAGAGAAAAGAATATTAGCATGGAAATCAGGAAAGAGCATTGATATGGATCATGTTCTGAATTTACTTAATTTAATACTTTGTTTCATGGAAAAATCTCTTATCTCCTCATTTGCAAAATAAACATGATAAAATTACTTCTATCATATAATTCATAGAATGTGTCAACAGCAGAGGTCTACAAGACATCCTTTGAGAGGTTATCATTTAAAAGTCAGTCAATATAATTTTCACCATTAAGTGTCTGCCTGACTGTGGGGGAAGACTCACAGCTGATCCTCAGGTCAGAAGAAGGTCTGAATGTGCTCACAGTGATTGTCCTTTACATGAGTAAACAGTGATCAGAGAAGTACTCCTTCTAAAGCACTGTGACCTTGAGTCATGCTGGGACTTCAGAGGCAAAGGCATGGGGATCTGGAGAGAATTACAGAGACTCAGAGATCTCTAGATGTTTCCCCATGAGACCAGCTCAGCTCTGCAATTAAACAGTCTGTGGGGATTCAGTTATTTATTTTACTGTGTATCATGTTTTGGTATTAGTTTTTTTCAGATTTTATAAATGACTCCTAATTTACATAAAGCAATACCCACATATTTTACTGTACAGACCCAAAGATTTTGTTTAATGTGTAGTCATGTAACCACTCAAAAAATCACAATTCATCTGAATTTCTATGCTAACTTCTCCTACCTACTGTGCCTGGCATCAAGTAAGTTGAATAACATTGAATGTAAACAGTCTGAATTCTTCAATCAAAAGACATAGATTGACAGACTGAATTAAAAACAAGACCCAATCATGTATTGAATTTCTCTGCCAACTTCTTATACCAGAGGAAACATTCGGCATTTGTTTTGGGGGGGATTGGCTGACTTTACTTAGCATTATCTTCTCCAACGCCATTCATTTATCTGCAAATGCCGTGATTTTATTTTCTTTTAATGCTGAGTAAAATTCCATTGTGTATATATGACACATTTTTTCTTTATCCATTCATCTATGGAAGGGTATCTAGGTTGGCTCCACAGTTTAGCTATTGTGAATTGTGCTGCTATAAACATTGATGTGGATGTGTCCCTGTAGTATGCTAATTTTAAGTCCTTTGGGTATAGTCCCAGGAGAGGGATAGCTGGGTCAAAAAGTGGTTCTATTCCCAGATTTCCAAAGAATCTCCATACTGCTTTCCATATTGGCTGCACCATTTTGTAGTCCCACCAGCAGTGCATGAGGGTACCTTTTCCCCCACATCCTCGCCAACACTTATTGTTGTTTATATTCTTAATAGCTGCCATTCTGACTGGAGTGAGATGAAATCTTAGAATAGTCTTTATTTGTATTTCTCTAATTGTTAGGGATGTTGAACCTTTTTTCATATATTTACTGATTGATTGTATATCCTCTTCTGGGAAGTGTCTGTTCAATTCCTTGGCCCATTTATTGATTGGGTTATGTAAAACTTGTACTCCAATAAAATAGAAAACATTGAA